TATATTCCAAGTTTTTTCATCAGAACCGAAAAAAGGAACTCTAATCCAAACAATCGTCTCTACCCCTAAGTAATAATATGTTTTTAGTTTCAAAAACAAATCGGGTGTGTCACATGGTATATTCGTGTTGATACATGAAAAGTGAACCATTAGCAATCCGAAGCCAAGCCAAACCGAAGTCAAGTGCATTCCGAGGTGTGATGAGTTCCGAAATGAAGCTGCTTCCAAAATGAAGACCTGTCTGAGGAACACATTGTATTCAGTGCTATTTTGAGTATGTATTTGCATTTAATGTTTCATGTCCTTTAGTCTTTGTTTTATTGTAAAGTTAATGGGACAAGATCGAGAAAATTCTGTGTGTCATCTTTTTGACTTTTCATCTTTACATAGTCCATACAGTCTTACTAGTTTGTCTTTTTAGCACTCCTTATCTATTTAAGGAGATGTAATCTTCATGCAATGTAACAACTTGAGTAACATTCTCTTTCACATCAATACCAAGTATCTTGCAAGTCAAATCATTATCTCTCTATCATTCTCATTGTTCTTAATTTCTCTTTACTTTGTTCATACTTATTTTTACTTACTTGAATACTTTGTTGAACATCTTCTTCAAGACAAGACTGGTTTACCAGACTTGACTGAACTTTTAATATTAGCAACAGACATTGATCTTAAGTTAATTCAAAGTTTGAGTTTTCAAACCTTGTCCGCGCACATATTCTTGCACTTTCAATTGGTATCAGAGCCTAAGTGGTTGTCCTTTGAATCCATAAGAACAGATTATAGTTGATTTGAGATTACCTTGGTATCTCAATCATTTCAGTGTTCAGGATAAAAGTTCTTCTATATACCACTTCAACTCTAATACTTTAACTTCAATGGTTGCTTCTAATTCAACTCAACAAATGTATTCAATGCAAATAACAAATAGCGTGGGTTTCCCAACGCGTGCCCCATTGCTAGTTGTTGAAGAGTATGATCACTGGAAAGTTAGAATGGAGAGATTTTTACTTGGTAAGGAAAAAGGTGAAGAGATTTGGAGATCTGTGAAAGAATGTCCTCATGTTCCCGTAAGACAAATGGTCAGAGATGCTGCTGCTACTCTCATGGGTCAAGAAGAACAACGTCCAACACCTCTAACTGCATCAAACATCAAAAAGCTTCATGCAGATCAGATTGCGTTCTCGGAAATGGTGTTTGGTGTTCCTCCTTCTCTCTTTGAGCACATAAAATTGTGCAAATATGCTAAAGAGATTTAGGACACACTTCAAGACTTGTTCGAAGGTTCTGAGAACATGAAGGATAAGCGTTTAACATCCGTTGTAAACAACTTTGATACCTTCACTACAACTCCCGGTGAATCCGTAGCCTCTGTATCAAATCGGTACAGGATCGTTGTAAACACTGCACATGGAATAGTCTGAAATCCACTAGATTACAATCTGAAGTTCATCAACAGCCTCAGAAAAAGGATGCGGAAATGTTAAGTCATGTCTTCAGAGTAATGGATCTCTGAAGAAACTGAAGCTGTATCAGTTGTTTGACGAACTGCAAGGCCATGAATCTAACGTTGCTCA